CCCCCCAAATTATTTTTTGCCCCCCCATTTTGCCCCCCCTCAAAACAAATTATTAGTCACTAAGAGCGACTAAATGCTAGGCTTATAAGTTGTCATTACTCATGCATTAGTGAATGCGCGTATACATGAAACTGTTTTTTACAGTTTCAATATTAGTTGGTAAATCTCTGAATGGTAAAACTTCCCAATACTCCAATAATACGTTTCAAAAAAAGACAAAAAAGCTTTAGTTTTGAAGAGTTAAAATTTCAAACGTGCAAGGCAATAATAAGATGAAAGTATCACGAAATTATTTTAATAAACCACATCGCATATATGGGGGGCGAATGTCCTAAAGAGGGGCGATATTCCTAGGGTATTCGCCCCACCCCCCTGGGAGGCGATATTCTAGGATCCTAGGAATATCGCCACGTTTTGAGGGGGGGGGCGAATTTCCTGGGGGGGGGGACGTTTTTAAAAATTTTATCTTGCCCCCCAAAATTTGAGTTTGCCCCTCAAATGCCCCCCCAAATTTGGAAGCCTGGCGCCGCCACTGGAAGTCGGGCTGAAAACGCCAAAGACTGTCGTTTTGAGAAAGCATTGATCAGTTCAAACTTATAACTCGAATATTTGGGCTTCTTTCAAATTCTAGTTATGTGAATGCTTCCGGCCAATTTGACTATGTTGCAGTAGTTGCACAGGTTTGCGCGCTTTGCACAAAGGCATTCAGCAATACTATAGCTCAACTATACTGTGTTCAAGTGACAGTACAATTATTTATGCGGTGTTTCCATCTTTTCAAATTCTAGCCGCTCAGAGCCTAGAGTTTTATACTTGTAATTGTCGCAAAACTCAGCAATACAACATACACAGTGATTTGATGGAGGTTATATTTCATTTTACATTATGCTAAATCTTGTTTTAACTTTATTTTGTCAAGATATTGAAGAGGAAGAATATAGGCGTGCATATTTGCAAGCTCTCCATGAAGGTGAAGCAAAAAATAATCGAATTCCGATTATGGTGGTCGGGCAAGACCGAGGCGGAAAGACGTCGCTGATGAGACGTCTTTTAGGATTACCATTCAACAAAGATCAACCCAGTACCACTGGTATTGACGTTAATGTTATCGAGCTAACAGAACAAAACGCGGAAGATCCCTGGAAAAAGACAGAAGTGAAGAAGTTTATGACCAGTGAAAGCGAGGCAAAGACTGTATTATACAAAAAAACTGCCGAGTATCTTGATGGAGGAGTTCAGTGGAATTTGGAAGGGGATGCGCCAGAGCCATTCAAGCCAGTGATGCAAGTAAAGCCAGTGATGCCGATGATGCAAGTAAAGCCAGAGATGCCAGTGAAGCCAGTGATGCCAGTGAAGCCATTATTAAGAAAAGAAATCTCCAAAATCAAATTGCAGAGGTCCACTGAACACGACCAGAACGAAGTTCTTCGGGTATTTGTAAGTGACTTTGCTGGACAGTCAATCTATTACGATACCCATGGCTGCTTTGTGAAACCGCATTGCCCTTATGTTTTGGTTTACGACCTTTCTCTGGAGTTTGATAAACCCGCCGTTCCCAAATTTAAAACAAGTAATGAAGAGGAAGAGATAGAGATGAACAATCCTCATCTGAATACCAATTTAGATAATTTTACATCATGGTTGAAGTTCCTGCAAGGTTTAGGAGAATGCCAAGATCAACAGTTTCCTGATAAATCTGGTCACTTTACCACTGCAAAGGGTGAGAACTTTAAACTGCCACCAGTTTTAATAGCCTTAACTCACAGTGATGAGGTGAAAGGCAACGACAGCAGAATAGATTGTGTACAGAAGAGAATAAAAAAGGTCTTATCTGGAGGAAAATATGAGAATGTTGTCCCAGAGTTTTTCGTGATCGACAATACATTGGAAGACGACGACGGAGACGACGTGCGAAAGGTTCGTAGAAAGCTTTTTGACCTCTCGAATGCAGTCCTTAACCAGGAGATTTTAATGCCTGTGAAGTGGCTAAATTTTGAAGTTGCTCTAAGCCGGAAAGATTGCAAGTATATCCCAGTTGACGAAGCTAAGCAGGAAGCGAAGGCCTGTGGCGTTGGTGAGTTTGATCAAGCTATCAAATTTCTACACCGCCAAGGTGTGGTCGTGCACCACAGTGGATCCAGCAAGGTTGTATTGGATCCTCACTGGTTAATGAATCGCTTTACGAAAGTGATCTCCATGCCTGGCAGATTGGATGCCTTGTCCAGGTACACTCTTGATGTGTTCAAACAGAAAGGCATTTTGTTTCGAGAATATCTTGAGACGCTGGAAGACGCAAAACTGTTAGAAGAGCTTATGCAAAAGTTTAATTTGATTTGTCTTTGCCAGCATGAGGAAAAGACTGCTTTTTATGTCCCTTCAGTTGCCCCAGCTATGAAACAAGGAAAGGAGTTGGAAGCTAGCAATGTTCCATCGCTGTTTGTGAGATTTCCTCGCAAACTTGTACCGATGGGCCTGTTTACGAAGCTTCAAGTGAAATTGATTTCTGAGTGGGAAAAGCGCTTTCCCAATCAACAAGCCACGCCTTCCTTCTATTGCAACTATTCCTTGCTTCCACTTATTATAGACGGCGACGTGTATGATGTTTGTTTAATCGACCTCCACGAGTTCATTAAGGTTGCCGTTTTTCCCAAACATGAGGATGGCAACCATTTCAAGTTTGCCAGTCATTTCAAACCCACTCTGAAAAAGTGCTTGGACGACCTTAAATCTCCAGATCAACTATTATTCAGCATGACCAGCTATGACCTCGAAGTGGAATGTACCTGCTGCTTTGGTAAAGAAGAAAGAAAGTGTTCTCGTCATCATGAGATCCAGTGTCATTCAGACCGTTGTGGGCACCGCCACTTCTGGAAGCTTAGTGACCTTCAGAGACTATACAACGATAAATCCCCTGCAGTTTGCCGGACGGACGAACGCTCGTCCAAGGTGTTTGACATAAAGAGTGTAAAAATTTGGCTCAATACTGGTAAGTGACTAATGCTAAAGGCGTTTTTACTTTTCCAGTTTTGAAATCTTTAGTTGACAATCATCTTTGCTGTGGTTAGGACCAAGCCTGGGTTAGGACTATCGAGGGATTAGTGAGCTTAAGCAAGCAACGTTTCTGTCAACACGGAGGGGCGTCATCTGAAAATTGGTATCACTAATATTGGAGGCGTTTTGCAACATAGCGCTCATGTAAGGAAGCAAAAAACTTTAAAAATCTTATGTTTTGTCATATGTGTTGAAGATTACGACAAACAGACAAACTGATACAAACACAGTTTTTAATCCAGTCCCCTCCCCCGGCAATCTGACGTCCATGTTGACAAAAACGTCGTTTGCTTAAGGTGGCTCGATACAGTTTTCAAAAATTCAGGTGTTCAACACTTTGACATGTTCAAACTACGCATTTTTAGGATTTATTCAGCAGATATTGGGGGTTTTATATATTTTGATTTCTCTACTTTCAAATTATATTAGTTTCAGTAACAGATAGTTCGTTGCTATGACGACATACGTGTACGAAATTCACTCCAAAATGGCCTATCGTCTCGTATAGTTGGAAAAAAAGCATGGTGACCCCCAATTTTTTTCGTGCATTATTTTACTTGGACGAAAAGCTAACAATTAGCAAAATATAAAAAAATTCCGTAATGCCATTTTTTTGGAAAATGCGAAAATGTCATATTCTTCGGTAAAATTTTTTTAGCATTACAGAATTTTTTTATTTTTTGTATAATGAAAGTTTTTAGCGGTGCAATACAGCATGCAAAATTTGAACATAGGTCACCAGACAAAATAAAGAGATATAGCGCATTGTTTTTCTAAAATTGAAAATTCTAATGACGTCAGCAATTGACATAAAACGCTATAGAACACGGGCAATGGCCATAGATATCTTATATACACTAGATAGCGCATCTCTTTTAGTAAAATTGAAGCCAAGAATATTCCAGCGGTTACCCCCATTTGAATAGATGGCGGCCATGTTGAAGTTTCCCACTCGCTAATAAACGCTTACAAACCAACAATAACTTTCATCATATGAATAGTTTGAAAATGTATTTGGAATAGGTTTAACTTAATGTTTAAGTTCCCTGTTTAAGAAATAGAAAACATACGAGTCTTCTCATTTCATGGGAATATCCTGAGTCTGCAATGCACTCTCTAGTGTATATAAGATATCTATGGCAATGGCGTGATATGGCGCCAGCAACTGCTCACGTCAGGTCATTTTGGAAGTTTTTTTCATTTTGTTAATCAATTTCCGCGACCTGCGCGTAAAAACGGTTACCCGGTTTTGAGTTCGCGATTCATGAGCAGGGTTTTTGTGATAACTATATCGAGCCACCTTAAAAATCCCTTTAATTGGCAAATATTGAAAAGTTAGGATAAAAATTTTTTTGACATAATTTGGGTCTTTTTTGATCAAGAAACATGTTCCTTAGAAAAAAATTTAATTTCATTAAAATCCAGGGGGGGGGGGGTTATAATTTGTTGCCATATGGCAACATTGCCAAGAACCGGATACAAACAGACAATATTTTGGACAATTATAATTGTTTTGATCTACTTCACTAAGGTCCTAATTTTTAACAATATATAATGTCATATATAGAATACAATATACAGGGTGTATCAAAAAAAAGGTAATCGAACTTCAGCGCGCTATTATACGTGAATCACTCGGCGTATGAACAATTGGTTTTCAAATTTGGAAAGATCAGGCTTTTAGCTATTGAATGACATGCGTTTCATACCAAGTGGAGAAAAAATAAGCATGTACGAGGCCGATCAAAAATGTTAGTCAAAATCGCATATTTTCACCTCTGCCTAATTAAAACAATGCATAACAAAAGAAAAAGCAATTAATCACTAACGTGTCGTAGCTTAGCTAAGATTTATTCCGACTTAATAATAATTATGAATATGTGCGTAGTTCAATGAAGTGAAATTCATCAACTTAAGTACCAAAGGTAGTTCATTTTCAATGGTTTTAGACCCAACTCTCAACGGTGAAAATATGCGATTCTGACTAACATTTTTTATCAGATTCGTATTTGCTCATTTTTTATCCATTTGGCATGAAGAAGATATCATTCAACAGCTAAAAGCATGATCTTTCCGAATGTGTTAAAATCTCGTTCATACGCAGAGTAATTCGGATACAATAGCGCGCTGAATTTCGATTACCTTTTTTTTATACACCCTGTATAACTAGTTGTTATGAAAACAAAATAAGTACTAGTTGTAAAAACTAGTTGTTATGAAAATTCTAAAGTACCTGAACAGTAAAATATATATATATATATATATATATATATATATATATATATATTTACATGTATATATATATATATTTATATTATATATATATATATATATATATATATATATATATATATATATATATATATATATATATATATATATATATATATATATATATATATATATATATATATATATATATGTATATATATATATATGTATATATATATATATTATCGTATTTACCATGTTTGTTTCATGTCGACTGAACATAAATTAATTATGCCCATATTCAATTGCTGGACACTTACACTTGTGATGAGTTTCAGCTAGAGCACTACCGCTCACTGGCTTCGCACTTTTGTAAGTGAGCTCACGAGTGGAAGGAATACTATCGTATAAGGTTAATCAGAGATATGTATATTGTGAAACAATCACGTTAAAATACCATAATATATATATATATATATATATATATATACATATATATATATATATATATATATATATATATATATATATATATATATATATATATATATATATATATATATATATATATATATATATATATATATATATATATATATATATATATATATACTTATATATATATATATATATATATATACTTATATAATATACTGATCAAACTTGAAAGGCAACCGTTTCCAATTGCATGACTTTATTAGCTCTTTTTGTTTAAAACACTGTAAAGAGGGGTAAAATTATCTTGCATATAGTGGCTGTAAGAACAGATTTGTGTGTGATAAAGTATTTGGTTTGGCTCGGACATAATATTTTGGGCTTAAAACTTTCGACTTAACACTGCTCACAATATAAGATTACCTTATACAAAATATATTGGTACGACTGTATATGCATGTTGTTTTTATCTGATTTTGAAGGTAAAAATAACAGTATTATACCGTGTATGTGTTTTTTCTATTTATATATATATATATATATATATATATATATATATATATATATATATATATATATAAACAAGCACAAAATTAGGAATACTCCGCATGAGGCAACCGCCCTCCGATAACAGCTGTGTTTGTGATGGTTTAAAAACATGAGGATTGAAATGTCAAGAAAGTCGACAAGTTCACTTTATATACATAATGAAATGAAACAACAGATGGCGTTATATATGCTGATTTGAATATTGCAGTTTTCAGGTCGACATATACGATTTGACTTCATAATTATCATAGGAACATATATGGAATATTTGAAAATACGCCTGAAAGTCGCCTATCTCTCTCTCTATATATATACATGTATATATATCATACAATTTGAATCTCGAACTGACGGGACATAATTAAACAGCGCGATATATTTGGCAAACTTAATTTTACCAGTTATTTACACTGAGTGTATGATGTTAGCGAATATTGGGTAAATTGAGCATAATATATATACCAATTTGCATGAAATAATATTAAGGTGATTCATCAGTAATTGTTCTGGAAATGAGAATTTGCTCAAACTTCCCATGCAGGGGCGAAGTTTATGATATACTGGCTCATATAGTAAAAACAGGAAAAAACGTTGGGGTCACCGAATTTGTTTAGAAGATATGACAAGTACAATAAATATGTTATCCTTTTCCCCAATATATGGCGCCATCTTGACACTTTTATGAGTTACGGAACAATCGCAATTGCGCAACCGTTACTGATTTTTTAATAAGGATCCTATTAAAAATGTCTATCTAATGATTAAGAAAACATTGTATTTTAGCGAATCAAAAATCATTGGCGTGCATTGTCGTGGTGCAAATATGTCTTCAATTATGTCCGTGAACTAGTGTACTGAATAGGCATTGCACTGTTCACCGACACTGAAGTGAATAATTGTTAAATATGCCGGAAAAGGTTACTATTCGAGTCCACCGAAAAACGGTTTGCACTGATATTGGATCATAATGTACACCGAAAAGCCGGTCAATACTGGAATATATACCGCGGGAAAAGGTCAATATTATGATATGTATGCATGCAGCGAAACGGTCTTAAATTCGAACAGGATGCTGAAGAACGTTCAATATTCGAATGCCATACTAAAAGGGTCAAGAAAAAAAGCATGTATATATAGAAAGTATTTGGAGGCTTATAATTCGTGTCACATAATTATTTCCAAAAAGATCAATAATGATTAATGTACAAAAAGCACATTGAATACAAAACAACAAAGACTATAACAGAATAATAATTATGTTTGCTGTATAAAGACATTTTGCTTTAAAAATGTCATGCATATAAGTGTCATTGTACAAACAGGGCAAAACAAATTAACTTAAGTAAATACAGGTGAACGCTGGGTAGGACGTTCCAGGCCAGGTGAACAGTAAAATTTTAAAATTTAAAGTAATAAACTGCAGCGTAAATACTCATTCGACAAATGATTTATTGCACAACAATTATAAGTGAAGCCACATGCATAAAGTAGAATCCTTGATTCTCGTCACCGCCCGCGATTGTATTTTATAAGAGCCTCGTGCGTATTATTATTATTATTATTATTATTATTATTATTATTATTATTACTATTATTTTTATTATTATTATTATTATTATTATTATTATTATTATTATTATTACTATTATTTTTATTATTATTATTATTATTATTATTATTATTACTATTATTTATTATTATTAATTTTCATTATTATTATTATTAGTATTTTTTTTATTATTATTATTATTTATTTATTATTATTATTATTTATTTTTTATTATTATTTTTCAGTTTATTTGGCATCAAAAAAGCCCTGACAAAATCAATCCAGTATCTGCCGAAACTACTCATTAATAACCAACTAATTCCAACGCCCGTCTCGGAGAAAATTTTCAATACTTTAAGGAAGATACTTTAACTTTAACATGTCCGATGAAAAACACAAGTCTGAACTAACCTCACTTGTTGAAGAACTAATGGCTGATATTGATTCTAAACCACTACAACCCAAAAATAAAATCCTCCTCTACAGTCGGTATGTTTTGTCGAAACTATCGTGGCATTTTACCGTTACTGGTCTATCGAAAACCTGGGTCATTGAAAATATTGATTCCAACGTGAACAGTTATATTCGTAAATGGCTTGATATACCTATATCCGGAACGCTGAGCACTGTCTTCCTAACCCGAAACAAATTTGGTCTCAATATTTGCCCTCCATCTATAAAATTCATCCAATGCCAAACTGTTCTCCGTAAAGCTCTAAAAATATCTCCAAACCTATTAACGAACTTTGGAAGTCAACCAGTAACAGCAAAAATATCCAGTACATCTATCACTCGACCAAGCAAGTTCTTAAGGATTTTCGCTCTGGACAAGAGGATGGACTGCGTAACCAACTAACATGCCAAGGATCCTTATTCGCCAATATTACAAAGTTCTCTCTTTCCCAACTGACGAAACTTTGGTCCACATGTCAATCGAACCTGCCAAAAAATATATTCAACTTTACTGTACGATATATTAACAATTCTCTCCCAACGTGGCAAAATCTTGCAAGATGGGCTATATCGACAACTTCAGACTGCACTTATTGCCTAGCCCCCGAAACCCTTTTGCACGTTGTAGCAGGTTGTCAATCATATCTGGAACGATACACATGGAAACACGATTCTGTCTTAAACTTTCTTGCGACGAACCTGCCGACTGTCAGCGGATCATGTCTTTATGTGGATCTCCCAGGATACAAAAGTCCATCCATCATTACTGGTGACTGTTATCGTCCTGATTTGCTGCTGTCAACCTCAACTCCTCAAGTGGATGTTTATATATCGTGGAACTAACTGTTGGGTACGAGTCTAATCTCGAAAAGAATGTTCAACGCAAAAAGGCCAAATACTCAGAATTGATTAGGGAACAAAGCGAGCATTCCGAGAACGTCAAATTTATAAATATTTCAATTAGCAGTCTTGGAGTTTTTGCAAAAGAATGCTTGACTTTCATGGACATGCTTAATGATCTTGGCTTCGATAAAAACCGCCAAAAATACTGCTTTAAACGAATGACGACGATTGCGATCAGAACAACTTACTATGTATTTTGCTGCAGAAACATAGTTATTATTGATTCAAATACACGGTTGTGAATTACCTTATATAAGTGAGATTTACAATTGTATGTAACTTAAAAAATTCATTTATAAAGTTTCCATTATTATTATTATTATCATTATTATTATTATTATTATTATTTTTACTAACAATTTGACTTATCTCATTGTATATATATATATATTGCATGCACTTTGTTCTGTTATTTTAGTTTAGTATAATTGTGATTCAAATAGCCAACCGTAAGTTACCTTTATGAGAGAGATTTACGATTGTATATGTATGTAAAGAAAAACATTTAATAAAGTTTCCATTATTATTATTATTATTATTATTATTATTATTATTATTATTATTATTATTACGATATACATGGCGACATGATTCAGTTTTGAATCTCATTGCGTCCAGCCTTCTCGACGTCGGAAGGTCCAAAATGTATGTAGATCTGCCTGGATTTATTAGCCCATCTGTCATCACTGGTGACGAGTTACGACCAGACCTTCTATTGACAATTGAAAATAAGATTTTGTACATTCTAGAATTGACTTTTGGATTCGAAACAAACCTGAAAACTAACTCAGATCGAAAACATGAAAAATATTTTACTCTATAATTACCGATCAAGAAAATATATATGATGAAGTTAAGTTTGTTAATGTATCTATAAGCTCTTTAGGTGTATTTGGTGAATCGACGAATACTTTATTTGATATGCTCCATGATCTGAAGTACGACGAACAACGTATTAAATATGTAAAAAAGAAAATAATTGCTACTTGTATTCGCACGTCTTATTATATATTCTGTAGACGAAACAAAGACTGGAACAACCCAGAACTTTTAAACTTTTAACTAAATTTAAAAGATTTTCACCTGTATATATATTTTAGTTTTATATTCAATTCAAGTGGACATCGATAAGCTACCTTTTAGTAAGTGAGGTTTATCAATGTATATATAGTATATAGTAAATATCTAATAAAAAGTTTCCATTATTATTATTATTATTATTATTATTATTATTATTATTATTATTATTATTATTATTACTTCGCCCCTAACCTATCTGGCACTCTAGAACACACTGCGCAAATGGCTGACATCATCAACAAAGCCCGGATCAGATAACGCGCTGTTGTCATCACCTATACTTGATCTGAAGAGTGCTTTCGGCGAAGTCCATCATAATCTCATCCACTCAGTACTCGACTACCACCACATCCCAGAACACATAAAATTCATTATAAAAAGTTTATACACTGAGTTCCAAACCTCAATAATTACCTCCGAATTCCGCACCCCTTTTATATCTGTTGGCCGTGGCGTATTGCAAGGAGATTGCCTCAATCCTCTTCTTTTCAACATGTGCTTCAATACTGTTATCCAACATATCAAAGCTGAAAAGTACCGTCAGTTTGGCTTCTCCTTCAAGCTATTAAATCCTATCCACTTGTTCCAGTTCGCTGATGACGCAGTCGTAATCACCATGGCCAAGAATCTGAAAACCAGCATCTCTTAAATCGTTTTTCCATCTGGTGCCAATGGTCCAATATGATTATCAGAGTTGATAAATGTAGTACTTTGGCATCAAGAAATCCATCACAAAATCAGTCCAATATTCGCCGAAACTCCTCATCAACAATAATCTGATACCAACAATAAAGATTGGAGAAGCATTTCAATATTTAGGACGTTACTTTGATTTTAACATGTCGAACGATAACCATAAGACTGACCTAACCACTCTCGTTAATGAACTAATGACTGATATTGACTGGAAGCCACTCCACCCAAGAAATAAGCTTCTCGTGTACAGTCGTTATGTCTTATCCAAACTATCCTGGCATTTCACCATCGCAACACTTTCTAAAACATGGGTTATTGAAAATATTGATCCCGTAGTAAACCAATACATCCGTAAATGGCTTGAAATTCCAATCTCAGGAACACTAGTACTGTTTTTCTAACTTGCAACAAGTTTAGTCAAAGTATTTATCCTCCGTCGGTGAAATTTATCCAATGCCAAACAGTTCTTCGAAACGCTTTAAAGCTTTCTCCTAATCAATCAATCAACGAACTGTGGAAATCTACTAATACTCATACTAATATCCAATACGACTTTTACAACTCAACCAAAGAAGTGCTTAAAGATTTTCGGTCTGAACATGAAGATAAACTCCAAAACCAATTAACTTGTTAGGGATCCTTTTTCTCTAATGAATCGCTTTTAATTCAGGTTGATTGGCGTATAAGTTTTATAAATTCATTGAAATTTGAAACTAATAATACACGGGTGGTCTGGGGGAATGCTCCCCGCAGAAAGCACATCTTCAGCTATATTATATTTATTTAAAAGAACAATTACATAAATATGCAAGGTTCAAGTCGAGGGTTACTCTGCTTTGAAATCACGTAGGCACTGTTAATACTGCGACACTGTAGAAGCCCAAAACACTTTCAAAACTAATATATTTCACCTTTTAAAACTGAAATAATTTTGGTTAAGCCAATGGCAGTGTCGCGTAAAGAAGGAGAAATCTTTCATTTGTTTATGCAAATCAGTATAGCGATTTATACTATGTGGCGCCTTTGTCTGATATATAATCAAGCATGTCAAAATTTTACGTGCTTTATCACGTTTAGTTCGTTTGGTTTAAGGCACAGTGATTCAAACGCCTATCACTGTCAGCTGTATTAAATGGTTGTTGGTGAAATCACCAGTTCTTCTTATCTGCTCTCAATTTATATAAATTATTTTAATTTCAAAACATTTGTGCCACAGAAGATAATTAATATTTAGTTTTAGTATTAGCCAAGTGGGCGGTGACCAATTTTACCGGGCTTTCGTGCAGGCTCTCCTTTCTTTTGGCCTCGTATTTTGAGAGCCGCTACGCCGTGTCTTAACCGGCTTAACTTACTTATATTTTTGCAAAATACCGACAGTATAATTAATGAGCCATCGTACATAAAATTTCCCTTTTGTGTAACTTCAAATACAACTAATGAAATAATATTATCACGATTTGTCTTTGTCATGGTCTTTGTCGAATTACGAATTACATGTATGTATGCATGCAGCGTGCACAGGTGGCGAAGGTAGTAAGGGGCTGTTTATATGGAAGCGAACCAGCCCGGGTACCCGAACTAACTCGCTTCCCTGAGATGAATTTCACCACGCGTTTATACATCAAACTTTTGGAGCGGGCTGACTTGTGAAAACAAATACAAATTTTCGCGGGAAAGTCAATTAGTTGGATTTTGGGCATGCGCATAAAGACATTATTTTACTTAAAAGCTGAGCCAGCTCGGGTAAATGCGTTTATATGCCGGACAACTACCCAGCCAGTTTACCCGAGGTCTCGGGTCACACGAAGCGAGACCTCGGTTAGGCGGGCCTGCTCGGTTCTCATATAAACGCAAGAAATTTAGTAGGAAATATTAACAAAGACGGGATCTCGCCTAAAGCGAGCTAGCTTGGGTACCCGAGCTGGCTCGCCTCATATAAACAGCCCCTAAGACAAAACGTAGAAATTCTTGTAAGACAAAACGTAGTAATTCTAGAAACATATAGAAACTCTAGAAACGTATAGAAATTCGTGATCGAATCATGAATACAGCGTGCTCTTATAAATCTGCCAGATTGAATTTGTCTATATATGAATTTAGTATATAATTACATAGGTGATTATTGAAAATTCTCCACGCTGATTGGTTGCCGTTGAGGTGATTATAAAGCGATAATCACCTAAGCGATTTTCGAAATGGCTGCCGAAGCCGTTTTGTCAATTAAATGACGAAGAAATGTGTATGGTGGCCCATTAACGCCATAGTAGTTTTTACGAAATTATCAAGTTTTTTCAATAAAAAAATATTTTAAAGTATTTTTTTATTTTTTATTATTTTATTTTTTATTTTTTTATTTTTTATTTATTTTTTTTTTTTTATTTTTTTATTTTTTATTTATTTATTTTTTTATTTATTTTTTATTTTTTATACTCCATGGCCCATTGACGCCATAGCAATATTTATAAAAAAAAAAAAAAAATGCTCCATGGCCCATTGACGCCATAGCGATTGTCGTGGCCCAGAGACGCCATATACCATAAGGCCTTTCGGGCATGGCGACTCGCATAAGGAATGACGACTGGGAAGGCGATATGGAGTTAAAAGACGACATTAAAGCGTACGTTGCCCAGAATTTGCGTCAAACAGAAATTGTGGATTTTTTGAAAGTGAAGTATCCGATGTATGCGTGGAGTGTGAGAACTCTCTCACGTCGCATGCATCATTTTGATATAAAATACATCGAATACGACACAAATATTGACGATGTCACACGTGCTGTGGAAGAAGAGATGAATGGGCCAGGAAGATTCCTAGGCTATCGTACTTTACACAAGAAGATTCGTGAAGTACACACATTGAATGTTCCAAGAAACGTTGTGTACGACGTGATGACCGATGTCAACCCTCAAGGTTTACAAGAAAGAGGTGGTGTGGGACAACCGAAACGCCAACGAAGAAAAGGATCGTTCACATCGACTGTAAGCATATTAAAAAATGTTTCATATTTTGTTACACTAGAACATTATATTAATATATGTGACGATTTTCTCATTCAGGGAGCTGATTTTACAATGTCACTTGATGGGCATGATAAAATGTGTGGTTTTCAAAAGTCTACGTTCCCACTGTGCATTTATGGTGCCCAGGATACTTTCAGCAGCAGAGTAAACTTCCTGTGAGTATGGACTTCCAACAATAATCCAAGCATTGTTGGTAGATTCTACTTCGACTATTTATTCGAAAGAAGAGGTATTATAATATTTGCCTTTATCTAAATGGTTCTTCAAATTTAGATTATTAATTAATACCCTTCATTAATCATTGAGCATCACTCACCCTCAAATATGCTCCAGACTCATTTCAATGCACCTTGAGTATGAAATTTGAAATAATCACCCTTTCTCGATAGACATTGTTTTAGCACCCTTCTTGAGCACAATCATATATTATAGTATAGTCATGTTAACATTATTGTACAAAAATATGTGGAACTTTTTCTGTATTTTATAGTGTTACCCTCAAGAATACGTGTGGATAGAGGAACAGAAACTGGTGTGATGTGTACTATCCACAGTTATTTACGAGCACAACATGGTGATGTAGAGAATGGAGATGACTGTGTTCTATTTGGACCTTCCACCGAAAACAAAATTGAGAGATGGTGGAGAGAGCTGTCACACAGAATGGAAGGCTACTTCAAGGATCAATTAAAATGTTTGCTTGAAGATGGGTATTATGACCCAAGCAATGAAACTGACAGGTATACTTTTCGGACAAGAATGCATTTGGTTTACTGGTTAATGCAGCTATATTCATCAAATATTGCAATTTTTAAACCACAATGATATGAGAGACCAGAGTAAATTATCATATATGAGTGCATGTGCATGAATGATCATCATCGTCATCGATTTGGCCGTACTCAAGGTCATACATACATGTATGTGCACTACAGCACCACCCTTTCATGTCATTACAAATTTAACTAAGTCCAAGATGATTCCATTGTGTGTGTGTGTTTCTGGACTAATTTGAACTCTGTATTGATCGAAATATGATTGTAGGACACACAATCGTTGAATTAGCATTCACTTGATTAAAGCAAATTACTTATCACTGAAACCCTGTCAATTTTAATTTGCAGAAACATGCTAGCATATATCTATATTCCTGTGGTACAAAAGGAACTTGATGTGTTCAGGGTATCTGTGTGGAATAATCATAGAGTGAGAAAACAAAAAGACAAGGAGCTTCCTACTGGTGTGCCAGAACATATATACACATGCCCAGAGCAACATGGTGGGGAAAAGTGTGGTATTCCCGTAACCGATGATCAATTACAAGAAGTGGCTGAGTTTTCTCATGTACTGGATGCTAATGATGACTTTTTAGATGATGATTTTCGCCAGGAATGCCAAAGACACATCCCAAATACAGAGGACATTGAGCCAGCCCAGGCTTCGAATGCATATTTATATTTAAAAGATCACATTTGGACATAAACAAGTTTGATCTATTAATTAATGTCAGAATAAAATATGAAACTTTGTTTATAAAGTTTTCCCCAGAATGGGAACAATGCCCACTTATAAGAGAAAATGTTTATATACTCTACAGTATGGTAATCAATAACTAAAAGTCTAGAATAAAGTGGTTAGACAAGCAATTGGACAAGCAATAACCGTACGCATAATGACGTCACAAGGTTTGATGCCTGTGATGAATGATGGTCTTAGTAGTCATCACCCGGGAAAATTAAACGATTGAAAATGGCCACTATAAAAATTTTCCTGGGCAATGACTACTAAGACAAGCATTCCTTGTGGGCATCGAGCATTGTGACATCATTATACATAAGATCTATCAAAATTGGTACATTTTCAAGATTCACTGTTGCTTTGACAGTTTCAGCATCTCACAGTATCTGTTGCATTCATGACATGTCAAAAAGGATTGAATTGCTGTATCTGACAAATTACCAGTGCAGAAACGAATTGCCTGATCATCAGGGTCTGCCAGCTCAGCTGTTGCAATTTCTGGGTCACATAAGGAATAATTAACACCTTGAATGTCAGTGACCATAAGTTGTTGGTTAGATTTCTGGAATGTATAATGAACAAATGTCTCAGCTTTAAGGCTTAGTTCACTAGCATCTTCAGGTCTCACACACACCTCTCCAGTGTTATTGATAAACTTCTCAAAAACACCGTCTAGGTGATTCTCTAAGGTTACAGGCTCACCATTTAGAGACGAATAGTAGACCTTACCATAAATAAATGTTTCTCCAAATTCTGAAGCTTGGACCTCGGAAGCCATACTTTGAGCAAAATTACGAGCTAAGGCATTTAATTGAACCGACTTTCGTGTATGGAGTTCTATGGATTGAAACAGTGCCTCGATTCCTTTTTTCTCTCCCTCCAAATATTTCTTAAGGACATACTTTCCTTTGGGCACACCAGCAATGGATTTTGCCAAAAACGCCTCACGCAATGCCCCATTGGCAAATGGTTTTCTTTCCAATGAAAGTGACACCTCAAAAGGTTCCAACCACTCCATTCTTGAGATGCAAAACTCTTCAAGCCGAAGAGTTACCACATCAATATCTGGGACGATGACTTTGCCCAATTTCAGCATCTGACTTAGTGACACTGAACGCACAACAGATGGTGATGGTCTGACACTGACAGATGTTGTTTACCTCGAATGCGGATGTTGGAAAGAGCTTTTTGGGGGGCTTCCGGTTGCTGGCTCGCTTTGGGGTCTTGGCTGTTTGCTTGCTGTTTGTGTTCGAGACTTTTCGTTCGTGGGGTGTTCGAGAATTTCCACGAAGCGCACGTGCAAAACTTTCCAGTTCTGGATTTGTCCTGACTCGGTAAACGAAGGACCACGTTCTCCAGCAAGCACATCACATTCCAATTCCGTGTTGAAGTGTACCTTACACGCAGCTTTGATGTTTTCCAGTGTCAGTTCTTTCTCACAAGGAACTAACGTCAAAGGCCCGATGCGCGAATACTTTTGGCATTTGCCCTCCACGTTCGCCGACAAACGCTGAACAGTCCGAGGGGCAATTCACTCCAAAAATCCCGTACACTTCGTCAAAAAATCCGGAAAAAATCCAGAAAAAATCCATGAAATCCTCAAAATCCGTTGAATCCATCAAAATCCGAAAAATCCATTAAAAACCACAGAAATCCTTCAAAAATCCACAGAAATCCTTCAAAATCCTCAAAAAAATCCGAAAATCCCGTACGCTTTTTTCGAGTGAAATGCCCCTCGGAACAGTCAGCCCACCTTTTGGACCAGTTGCTCCTTTTTCTTCCCCTTTCCGCATTCTCTTCTTCGCTACCTTCTCTTTGTAGTTATCCCAAACAGGTCTTCTCTTCGACATAACACAAAGATATTTTAAAACGGTGAAATTTTATGTAAATTTTGGCAAAATCTTTCGATCGATTCTGTGCGAGATTTTGAGCATGCACTGTTTCCACTTGATCTAAATAAACTTCTAACCAATCCCGAAAGGCCTTATGGTATATGGCGTCTCTGGGCCACGACAATCGCTATGGCGTCAATGGGCCATGGAGCATTTTTTTTTTTTTTTATAAATATTGCTATGGCGTCAATGGAGTTTGTTTTTATTGTTTAAAATAACGCTATGGCCAAGGCTATAGAAAAAAAAATAAAAAAAAAAAAAAATAAAAAATGAAAAAATACAAAAAAAAAATAAAATAAAAAATAAAAAAATAAAATAATAAAAAATAAAAAAATACTTTAAAATATTTTTTTTATTAAAAAAACTTGATAATTTCGTAAAAACTACTATGGCGTTAATGGGCCACCATAAATGTGTATTTTTTTATTTTTTGCAAATGATCAATTATGAATTTATATCTACTAAAACAATTATTCACCTCAGGCTCGTTGATTATCGTGAATAAAAACCGACTTCGTCTCGGTTAAATGGTGAACTATATACAGTCGTCAACTAGTTTGACCATACATGCATTGTCAGTTTTGTCTTGCATATAAAAACACAATAGTTTAACCGCGTAAATGTGAATTTTACTCTTGTAAATACGATTTGCTCTTGAAACATTTTTGCATGCTCGGGGGAAATTTCGAGAGCCTGATCGCAGGTTATCTCGTAAGCCGTAACGCATGTTTAATGGTTCAGTGGGCAAACTCATGATATATTCCAGAAGAGCTTTTTAACAGCAAATACTATAATAACAAATATTTTCTTAATATTTTTAGTCTCTTCTTTACAAAACTTTTTTCCATTTTAAGTCTCGATATTGAATATTTTTCGGCAAACTTTATTTAAGAGAACACTTCGCACCCTCGCCAGGACATTGGTACGAGTCAAAATGTCCTTATAAATTGAGTACGCATTCGATATCTGTTGTTCCTATGTGACTATAAAGAGTATATTATTTTTACCGCTGCATGTATTATAGCCGTTACAAAAAGGGACTATAGACTTCTCGTGAATTATAGCCTGCCCAACTCGCGAAGGAGTAAAAGAAGTTGGAGAACCTTTATAATATATTTAGAATTAAATATAATCGCTATATAGCTGAATAATCGCTTAGAACTTAATAATCAAGGTAATCACTGAATTATTCTTCATTTTAAATTTAAGAAATACATTAAATGTATCATGCGATTATAATGAATTGAACGATGCAAACTTGTACTAGCCTAGCTAAGGCGCTTAGCTTAGAAGACAATTTGAGGGGTTACTAAAATAAGAAGAGAGACGTGGCAACTAGTGTTTTGACACTATATATGACAACCACATGCACAAGCGGTACTGTACGAAATTTCATTTAATTTTGTCGAATCACACATACATACATACATACATACACTTTATTTCAACACGGAAGAATCATCAGTACAAGAATAAAACACACAAATTTAAATATATACAATGTTAGTCAAAAGATAAAAATAATAATTACTGTTTTACATGATTGCCGTGCAAGAGTCCATATACTCAGTATACTATAGGAAATTAGTCAATTCGACTTTGAATGAATTGAGAGAACTCAGAGAAGGGGCTGATCTGAGCTGTTCTGACAAGCTGTTCCACAGGGAAGCACCACTGTAGCTGAAAGAACGTTTTAAATAGTCTGTTCGAGGTTTTGGAACAGACAATTTATTTAGAGAATTTCTCAGATCATGATTGCTCACTTTGGGTGTAAATAACTGCTGCAAGTATTGAGGAGCACAATTATTATTAACTTTGTACATTAGGATAGCTTTTTGCTTCATGCGATTTTTTGCCAAAACACTCCATCCCAACTCAGAAAGTAGGGATGCTGACGAAACCTCATACGAGGACCTGGTCATTACCCTAGCCGCACGATTTTGCAGCTTTTGTAGTTTCTCACCCAGTTTTAAACCAATACCATCCCAAACTGGAGAGCAATAAGTAAAATAGGGCTCGACCAGGCCCCTGTATGCCTTCACAACCGTTTCTCTATTGATGAAAGGTCTTACGCGCTTAAGAACACTAATACCGGACGAAATTTTTTGGTAATATTATTGATATGGTTTTTCCAAGTTAAGTGCTCGTCGATTGTTAGACCTAACGACTTTGTAGATTGAACTTTTTGATCTTTTCGTTGTCTACAAAGACATTTAAATCATTGGTTTCACTGAAGGTTGCAAGTCTCTGACGGGAGCCAATGACCATATAAGTTCGGTTTTTGCAATATTAAGACTTAATTTATTGGATTGTAGCCAGGTATTTAGATTGATCATTGCGTCTTCCAACTCAGAAAGATCATGGCTATGAAAAGTTATGTTAGTATCATCGGCATACATTCTTGCTAAACCGTCATTCATACAATTTGGCAAATCATTAATATAGACCAGAAACAAGAGAGGTCCAATTATTGACCCTTGCGGAACACCATAAGTATAAGAACGGCTACTGAATAGTGTATCATTCACGAAGCACCTTTGCTTACGATCAGACAGATAAGATTTAAACCAATAGTATCAAAGGCCTTTTTTAGGTCAATGAAAATAACTCCATTTACCAGACCATTATCGATATTTACGCACCAGTCATTAGTCGATTCGAGTAGAGCCGTTACAGTGCTGTAAGTAGGTCGAAATCCCGATTGTTGATGCGAGAATAGATCATTCACTGACAAGTACTCGTAAAATTGATCATATACGATTTTTTCGAAAACTTTTGCAACACTTGAGATTATGGAGATTGGACGATAATTATTCAAATCTGATTTGTCACCATTTTTAAATATAGGAACAACCCTGGTCAATTTCCAATCACTAGGATAGATGCCCGTGGATAGTGATTTGTTGAATAGTTTGGTTAAGGAAGGTGCTAAAATATCGGCTGCAATTTTTAGTAGTTTACCCAGAAGATTGTCCAGACCAGTAGATTTCGCAACGTTTATATGTTTTAGAAACTGCCTGACTTTATCAATATGAATTTCTTGAAATGAAAAAAACACAATTTGGCCTTTTAATGTAATGAATAGGATTTATATTGGATTTACTAATGTCATTCGCTAAATTTTTGACAACATTGGTGAAATGAAAGTTAAAGGCATCTGTAATTTCTGAGGCCTCTGTAATTACATTATTATCATCTAAATTAATTTTGCTAACATTGCCCGACCTGCTTTGTTTACGAGAGGTCAGTTCGTTAATAAGCTTCCATGTTTATTGATCACCAACGTAAGTTTATTTGCCCAGTTGTACCACATTTCGTTAGGATTTTCACAATGGGAAGCCTCGTCAAAATTTAACTAATTTAAATCATATAGGAAATTGGCTTCCTTAAATTGTTTGAAATCTCTCCTTATCACCGGTTTATTTATCTGCCACTTAGGGTAGCTGGACTTGCGAACTAAGTAAACAAGTGAATGGTCACTGATACCTAGTGAAAAAGTGCCAGATGCTGTTATTTTATCAGGAAAATTGGTCAGTAATACATAAATCAATTAGAGTTTGCGAAGTTAAAGTTATTCTAGTAGGTTCTGTAATCAGTTGATGAAAATCGTAAATATCTAAAATGTTTAAAAGTTCGGAGGTGTTAGAGTCGGGCGACCCTGAGAGCATATTGCAATTTATGTCGCCAAGCAGATGAAATTCGGAGTTTTCAACATCATTTTATCCATTAAAAAGAGATCAGGAGGAGAACTTGGAAGTCTGTACCAAGTACCGACAAGAAACGGCCTAGAGTTAGGCCTATTAGACTTTCTTCTTTTTGCTGCCACCACAAGCACAACTGACCAGTAACATCCTGACAAAAATACAAAATGCACAATAACTTGGAAACAATGGAGATGTTCATTTTCGAAGAACTTTTGGTGGGGAGGTGGAAAAATTTAGGAGACGTACAGCGGCCTTGACACCAACCTTCCTGGGATTTTAGGCCAATGTACAGCAGGGCTGCCCGAAGAGAGCGGTGCGAGGCAAAAGGGGCAATTTTCCTCGGGTCACAGGGCGTCCCAAGTACCAATTTTGTTGAATAAATTATACTTTCAAATCCTCTCTTAGGAAGCCAAAGTTGTATTCTATCCCGGGTCCCCAAATGTCTCTGGGCGGCCCTGATGTACAACATATGTACCAATGTATTTATATGAATTATGACTGTATAACTCATCCAATTTTGCCATACAATACTAGAAAGTTCTTTTTGACACATTTCATTAAGGATGACTGGACACACAGAGATGATAACTTTTCAATGTTAAAGACGAACTTTATTTCAAATGTAGAACATTGGATTTTCCAACTTGTGATACAAACGGCCTAACAATAGCCTTGTACATGATCTAAGTGGTGCAGAACCAGATAGTGCTACATTTTACTCTAGAAACAAGAAAATGAATCTGCTATCATTTTCAAAAGTTGTTGGGACACTTGCGGTTTTAGATCATTAGCACAGAGTAAATACCATACAGAGGTCTCACTTCTTATTAATTTCAGCGTAAGGGATTTTTCCAGTCCGCCATGTTCTTAGCAAGTGGCCTAAAAAGAGGCCGTCTCCCCTGAAAACATATTGAAATTTAATGATCCCGGTGGTGAATGCCTCTCTTCAGGGCACGTGCTAAGAACATGGCCGCCAATATGCGCAGTAAAAACTACCTTACGTTTTTCTCGCGAAGTGAGACCTCGTGTGCAAGTTATTACAAAAATTTGTTTTCCCTTCCCCCTCCACGTTCAATGTTGTTACCCAATCCAGACATTAGAGTACACCAAAATATCATGCTAACTGCAACCCAACGTTCAACAGGGGGTGGGATCAAAGTTTTTCAGAATTATAGTTGGGGCATCTGTCCCAACACATTTTCAAATGATTGTAGTTGTCACAACTTCGTCAATAATTTCACAGGATACTGAAATGTACACACGTAAAAACGAACAAGTTGTTACAGGTCTGCAAACAATCTGTTACAAGTCTGTTCACAAGTTGTCAACAAGTTGTGTTCGCACTGCTTGTTCCCAGTTTGTTGTAACAAGTTTGAAACAAGCTGTTAACAACTTGTAACAAGCTTGATGGCATTATCAGCCTTGTTACAAGAATGTGCTAACACGTTTGTTACAGCCATGATATGACAGGGATGTTACAAGGTTGTCAACACAAGGTTGTAACAATCTTGTTATATCAAGCATGTAACGGACTTGTCAGAACAACCGTGCAACAAGTCTGATAATTTTGACAAGGTTGTTACAAGTTCTCAACAAGTTGTTCCAAACCTGTTGACAACTTGTGACAAGCAGTGCGAATACATCTTGATGACGTCTTGTTGGCAGACTTGTTACAAGATGTGAGATTTTTACGTGTATAAACAAAGCTCACGCGTACGAGTAGTTTCTTGAAACTGCGCACTATCCTCAGTTCCTCTGGTTTTCATCCAGTATGAAAATCTAAAACTTCACTGACACTAGCATAGTAATATCAGAAAACATAGTGCCTGTGGTGCGGGAAGGAGGCGAGTGAATTCAGTTGGGGGCATCTTGTATACCTTCAATTTCGATTGAAGTGTTTCTACACCCAATTAAAAAAATTGAATTCCGTGGTTTGAGACAGTTGCAGCGAAATGGGCTATGACCATTGCTATCAAATAGGATAGCACCTTGTGTCTATTTGCGATGGATTATGGCTACTAGTAGAAAATCACAATATGAAACTCGTAAACAGTACAATACATATATATTTTCTCAAAAGATTATTATAAGTAATAGCATGGCATTCAGGTCGATTACACTGAGTTGCTGACAAAATGAACACTTGACCAATTACAATTGTACTAAACCAGTGGTGTTTACTAGCTGTTTGTGCACTGCAATCTGCATAGTGCATGCGTATTTGTTTGCTCTTTAATTCTGTAAATTTATTTACCTTGCCATGTTTTTTGCAACGGTTTTGATTCATCAACTCGAAAAGTATTATTTCATTTTATTGACATTTGCCATCACATTGCTGTGTACAATTCTTTTAATTTGGGCATAGTTGGAAACTTGGTCATCCATAGACTGTAAAGCCTGCATGGCTTGCCCAATTTTAGGAACCGCCTGCCATGCAGGCGGTTCCTACTGTACTGTTTACCGTCTTTTTGCCCCTGAAATGGCCTTGTTTCCATGTGGTCATTTCCTCATGTTTTGTGCACAATAAATGGTTAAGGAAAGACGACCAGGTTGAATTAACCAGACTACGTTAGGTGGATAAATAACCAGGGGTCCTTAGGCTATAGTTGTCCTGGCAGCTGGTGGATAATAAGCCTCTGCATGGGTGAATTAGAGCGACGACACCATGTGTAATCAACATTAAAAACTAGTAACTCGTATAAATAAGTCATGCAAAATGGATTTGGAATTAATTCATAAAGCAAGTATAGTCATCAGTGAAACAACAAATTGGTATACATAGTATATATCAAAACACACATATTGTTTGATATTTAGGATGCATTTAAACTACTGATAATAATCGCGAGATTGCCCAAAGTTCGAGCGAACATAAATTTAATATTCCACATATTTTACCACTATTATTGTATTAATAACTTCAACCCCAGAAAGGGCTTCGTTTAGTCTGCGGGAAAAAAGTTTTCTTTTTTCTTTGTGAGTTGATATTATAGTCTGATTCAAAAAACGGATTTAAAAAATTCCGCACGGCATTCTTTTTATCACATTTCAAATTTTGCAAATTTCGTAGTGTGGCTGCGAATTTTATTGTTTATGCTGTGATGTCACAGTGATGAGTCAGTGTGATGTAAAACCACTTATAACTATCGTAGATTGGAACGATTTACGATCTGCCATAATGCTTAGAGACTTTGAATTTGGAGAAAGGTTTAATTTGGAGTTGAAGTCGGATTGGCGTGACAAATCACTGTGACGTCATGTCAATTTTGCCAAGCAGAGAAATTTGATAAATTTATAACGTAATAAAGAGAAATCTGTGCAGGATTTTTTAAATCCATTTCTTGCATCAGAACGAGAACGAGACAGACTATATAACCTCAACTCAATTTCGACCCGGAGAGAAATAATTGATATCCATTATAACAGAAATACGAAACTTTAGAACGTGCAGTTCAGATATATTGATACGGATGCACTACATATTGGATGGCCTAAATGTATTGGTTGCGCTTGTCATTAATGCAATAACAAATTGGTAAATGCCTTATAGTGGTAGCTGTTCCAGTTCTAAAAAACAATATTTTACGAATGAGCGCTGCGAGTGAGTAAAATATTGTTTTTAACACGAGAAGATAAAAGTAGCCATATCTTCAAGGCCTACTTTGGGGGCTGTTATTATGTGGGACATATAAGGTCGCCGTTATTATGTGCGACATTGTGCGACATTTAAAATAGGCGACTTTGGCAATTTTCAAAGAAAAGTAGTATGCATCGCTGGGCGAAACTGGGCGAAATTAGGCGATATTGGGCGAATAGACTGTTAGGCAAAGTTCAAAAATTGGGTGCACATGGGCGAAATTGGGCGATATTAGGGGACCTTGGCCCCCAAAGTAGGCCTTCAAGTCACTGGGTAATGTTCTGTTTATTATATAATCCCAAGCAAAAAATTGTCAAAGAGTAATCTGGTGCTTAAAGTTATATTTAACTGTCACTGTTCTTGTATATTGGTATCTTCTTGGAAGTCGAAAGATAATTAACAGTTATTCTACTGTTACGAGCGTGGTCCTTAATATTAATATTTCCCGCGTTTTGGTTCGATTTCTCTCGCAACAAAGAATCAGTGTGAGTCAGTTACGTTTATATAACTATTTATTTCTTTAACTTGCTATAAGTAGCGTCTTTATAATACTATATCCAATTACTATATAATTAAAACTATATCAGTTCAACTTATCTCTTTTCTGTCTGACTGAGCACAACTCTTTCGTCTTCTTAACGTAACGTCGCTTTTTAACTTCAATACTCTTTCGTACATAACTTGTAACAATCTTTCCTTAACAATCTTCTTTATAATAACTTTCCCAAAATGATATTCACGTAAGGCGCTGAGGCCTATGAATAATGTAACTGAGGCGCTGAGGCCTATTGAATGAATCATGTAAGGCACAGAGGCCTATGAATGAATTATGTAAGGCACGGAGGCCTATCAATGAATAATGCATAAGTTAAGACGGTTGTGCTCTCCCTTATATATGTTCAGAGAGGAACTTTTTAAACTTGCAGTGTCATTACTTGGGAAGATTCTTACAGTCTTCTTGCGGTAACTGTTCTCGTCCATTACGCATTTGTGGTAACCTAAATATTTGCTTGCTCATGCGTGACCAAGCTAAAAGAACTTCCCACGTAAAACAATTTCCTATAGGTAAATTCTTCAACTAACTTAGAGTAATATAATATATATATATAACCAAACTTTGATATATATGGTAAAAGGTATTAATATATAATATATAATAAATAATTAATTAAGGTTGGTCTTCATATGGGGCTATTCATGTCCTGTTGACCATACCTTCAACCATATTATGTATTTTTTAGTCTATTTTATGTATGGTTGTAAAGTTAATAAATAAATAATGTTGTAAAATATACATGATAATAGCTATCATGTTACACCTTCGGCACGAGCACCCCCCTAATATTTCATAAAATGTCCGCCACTTGCTTAGAAGGTCTTAAAACTGTTTCACTCTACCGATAAATAGAGGGTTTTTTATTGACTGGGATTTCAATAACTGGGACAGGGATTTCTAATAAAAATCCAACTGGGACTGGGATTTTGCCTAAATTTCAGGTGGGAAATGGGATTGGGACCCCCCCCCCCTTCAGGACCCTCTTAAAAGGTTAGTGTAAATTTACACAAATATTTTTGGCGTGCTCCCTCGGTTAGTTCAGCTCTATATGTTTTTCGTAAACATAAAGTAAATTGCTAAGCTTTACTTTTTCACTTCGCTCTAAATTTCAAAATGGCGGCAAATATCACGTACCACACGAGAAAGATACGTACTTTTATTGGCTACTATACATTCACAACTGAGCTTAAAGTGCTTATTTCATATTGCAATAACGATCCGTGAAACATTAAATTAAACAATTATTGAATGAGGTCGAGTAGCATATGAGGAATTATTAAGGCCAAGGTGTGTGTTATCCCAAACCGAGGCCTTAATAATCCCTCATATATATCTTGTGAGAACCGAATTCAATAAGTGTTTTATTATCTATTTGTAAATATTTCGCACTCAAGAAGACGCCAAAGCTGCTGAAAATAGAACAACAATAATATAGTGTTCGGAAAGATAAGCCGCATAAATTAGCGTGACGTCATAGTGTACGTGTTTTATTGTTTTTCAATATACCACAAAATTACGTCAAACGTGGTATATTTTTTGTGCGTGTTTTTTGGTGTTATGTACGCAGGTGATTCTAATGTTTTGGATGTTACTCTGAGTGTAGATCTTGTACACTGAAAGTAAGCCTAACCACGGTGGGAATCGAACCCGCGACCTTTGCGATACTAGTCCAATGCTCTAAAACTGGACCTGTAGCAAGCAAAAACATATAACTGATATATCTGTATGCTGTGAACTCACAACGTTAAACCATTATTACTATTATAACCAGGGCTAGAAAATATATTTTTAGTTCCCAGCAAGAAAATCTAAAAATAAAACTTCCTGCACAATAATTTCAATTTGGAAAATGCTTTTGTAAACAATAAGTGAATATCGTATTCCATGCAGTATATAAGACGACAAATACTTCCTGCAAAATGTAAGATTTCCTGTGAAGATATTCTATTAAAAATTTCCTGGCAGCAGCACTTATACCTGTCACGTTTTAGGAAGAGTTACTATTTTTAGATTTGTGTAATTTTTTATTCTTTTGTATTTTAAACTTAACCCAAAACCTAACCCTTGCTCTAACCCTAATCTTAATCATTTCCTTAATCCAAACCCTAATCTTACCCCTAAAAAGTCTAAAAATAGCAACTCATATGTATATCTCGGCCAGGAGGTTATATTTTCATCTGTGTTTGTATGTGTGTGTGTCTGTTTGTCTGTCTGTCAGCATGATAACTCAAAAACCATCAAACATACTAAATACAAAAATTTGTGAGACTAATCGAAATTGCCCAAGCACAAATTGATTGAATTTTAGTTCAATTTGGATGAAAATTAGACAAGAAAGGTTTGTCTTATTTTGTCGGCCAGAGTAAACTGAATAAATAATACATAATTTAATTCACTGGGAAAGGTATGAAGTCTCCAAGTGCCCACAAGTTACAGTTGATTTCACAAAACTCTGGCTAAAAATTTTCTGACGATGGCTTGACCAAGTTCACATGTAAAGTATTTTCCCATGGTAGGCGGCACCAGGTGACATGCCCAGCATTCCAACCTGGGACTCATGCCAAAGCTGACTTTTTCACCTTACGAGGGGATAGCGCTGGGGCTAAATGGGTTAGGCTGCATTGCACCTTGATGCGCCTTACTTTATTGCTTTACTCGGTCCAACGCCAAACGATTTTGCTCGATCGTCAGGGGGAGAGTGCTGCCACTCAAAGAATCAAGAGCTATAAAACTTTTCATTATTTAATAATATATTATTATATATGATTACCTAGCACTTCAATATTTCCTCGATCAACCGCAGGATGCAAGATTGGCATTAGAAATACCACCTTTTCATCAACAATTGGGTAGGAAGTCGAAGGGAAAAATTGAAATACAAATGCTCTGCCTTAATAATATGGAACGTACCCAGTTTTAATATAAAGTTAAACTTTTTAATGTCTTGGTTCTTTCGTGTCAAAATCAATAATTCTCGCTTCACCGTTTGAAAAGTGCGTATATTTCCTTTTAGTTTCTGAAAATCCATCGTTAGTTCATTTGCCATGTTTTAAACCTGAAATTTTAAATTTATTTCAAAATTTTTTTGCACTTTGAAGAAAATGTTTGTCACATGCGGCTACAAAATTTGCCCCGAAATGCCAAATTCCTTGCAAAAAGTCTAATATTCCTTAGTTTTCCCAAAATTCCTTATTAAATTAATTAATAAATTAGACTATGTCAATTAATTAATTAATATTTCTATTTATTGAAAATAATTCAAGACTTTTGATCGGCTAAGGGTTGTCAGTGAAATCGTCATATCCGCTCGGTAGCTGTCCAAATTTGGACGGTTGTGACATTGGTGATTGTTAGTTTATGGTTTGGTACCCGGCCCATAAGTCCATATTGGCAGTGCTTCTGGTATGTCGCTGAGAAACTGTTGACAATGGTTTCATATTGGCAGTGCTTCTGGTATGTCGCTGAGAAACTACTCACTACTAAAACATATTACTTAAATAGTCTGGAGTCAAGTTATTTAAAGAGTATAAACTGGGCAAACTACCCTATACATAAGTTATGTAGTTTGCCTGTTTAATACATAACTCTGTATCCAGGGGCGGATTAGCCCACCGGGCTACCAAGCGATCGCCCGGTGGGCCCCCCGTTTTGTACAAAAAAATGGGCCCCTAGTTTTGTACTAAAATACATTTTAGTTCAATGGGGAAGACGCTTATCCTTGGCCTTAATTTTTATCAAAGGGCCTGGAAATAGCTCGAACGCCTGGAAGCCATGGCAATAACGATTACATAATTTTATGAATAACGCCAGTCGATCGTATTAAATTTGTATTTCAATAATTTAAATGAACTTTTACTGAAAAATATATTAAATACATGCCAAGGAAAGACTTTTATTGCGGTGAAGCATAAATTGCAAGCTATATATAGTATGATAATACGAAATCTAATATTTGGTAAGGATTATCCGAATAACATTATGGAAATATAGTTTTTCTTTAACTTAATTATAATTCGAGTCACAGAAAGAGAAAATTCGCCGATATTTCGTTTGGTCATGACGTCACCAGGGGGGGGGGGGGGCTTTACGTTAAAGCCCGGTAACACCGATGTTGCTAATCCGCCCCTGTCTGTATCGGTGAAATGTTTGACTGTCCAGGACTGGTACAAGTTGATAGAACAACTTGTATCAAGCTTGTTGACAACTTGTAACAAGTTCGTATCATCGTCAACTTGTAACAAGTCCGTTCCAGCAAGCTTGTGGCTGTGTTCACAAATCTGTACTAAATCTGCCAACAAGTTGTAATCGCTTTGTAACCAAGGGCTTTCAGAAACAGATTGAATTTGAAAACGTAACCTGATTCAAGAAAAACAGACTTTTATTAAAGGGCATCATGATTTAAGAAAAACGGACTTTTATTAAAGGCTATGTGCACACGAGCATCGTTTTCCAGTGTTTTCAAAAATGTTTTTGTCCCTTTAATCATTTTGACGCCTAGTTGACACTGTCCAAAGGAAAATATCTCCAATATATTAAATTAACTACAGCTTCTGCCGTAAACTGATAGTGTTTGCATCCGTTTTAGCGTGAAAACACAAAACGTTAAAACATTACCGTGTGCACATAGCTATCGTAAGTCTCAAACAGCAAAATGTGGCTTACAGTTTGATAATTTTTGAAGTCCCAAAAGGAAAATATTGAAGAAAATGCAGGTCAGTGTTGTATTTGTATTTGTCGGGCACCTTGCATTCCTGTTTTTAAGGATAAATTCTCAAATCGGTTTCCCTTCGACTTCGAGATATTTCCAAGTACGGAAGTGCGTCCTTGAATTAATTCACTATAAAATTATAAATACAGTACGCGGAAACCGAGAAATAAAGAGAACCTTGAAATTCTTTAATTAATGTCCAAGACACTAATAATAGTATACAGACTCTACACGCTGTGTAAAGCAAACTTTAACTTTGTAGAAATGGAATAGATCAATCTGCTCGTTCTGAACGGTAAGTTAAACTTACTTTTGCATATTTTAGTGGCTATACTCGTTGAGGGTTGACCTCAATACAGGCCGACACTTTTCACGGTAGTAGCGGCCATTCCGGAGTTCGCATTTTGATTGCATGTAGAGCAAACAAAACAAATAATGTAACAGTCCCGTGGAAACTATCCTTGGGACTTTTGCCGGGGATGTGTGTGGTTTGCGAGCGGCAGGCTCCTACCTTCTTTTATTAAGTAAGAGAGATTTTAACTAGGCACTGCGTTGGTAAATAATATCTCGAATGACGGCAAATTTCACAAGGATGAACATATCAACACAGCGAACTCGTAAGTGAAACATTAGCGACATTGGAAACATTAACTCCATTTTTGTCGAATATTTGTACGGATAGTGTTGGATTTACATATGGCCATAAATCAATAATAATAGACAGAACAACATGGCGGTTAATAAAAAAATCTGATTGATACCACAGCAAAATAGCAAAGACACTTTAATTAACTTGTAAACTTCACTGTATTTTAATATTTACGGTCATAAAATATGGTGATATAATACAATCTTGTTAAACGTGAGTGAGTCCAATCACTTCCGACGGCCGGAAAAGAAATGTAAAGCTGCTTTCCACGGAATTGAAATTTAATCCCTTTGAAACTTTCTTATAAAACAACTAAATGAATAAAAGCACAGCATCTAGTTTTGTGCATGAATTGAAGTGTAATATAGATTTCGTCAGTCAAGGGCAAATCTATACTATTAAACAATGCCTACGCATTGATTTTGACTTGTTCTTTCTTGAACGGATTAATTAGAATAAGTAATTAAGGAATGCTGTAGGCGTGGTACCTTAAAGTGCTTATGAAACGAAAAGGAAGGTCATGTGGTTGCCATGGCAAAAGACTAGTCCCAAACCTCTTCTCTTCATTTTTACAAATGTCCTCCTGTAGAGCTCTGGCAGAGAATGTTTGCATGTTATAACGGTTTAATCTGATCACAACACCTACACGTATTATAGTAATAAGCGACAATTGCAGAAATTGCTATTTATTTCGTTGGAACTGCATCACATAGAAATTGGAAGAGAAGGGACTGGAGACGAGTGTGTTGCCATGACAAGCATATAAACAAGCCAAATTGTGGTTCCATTTTCGTGTCACGCAGTCACGCAATGACGGAATATGATTGGTTAGCAGATTAGGGATGGGGATAGGGTGGGTTTCATGATTGTGTGACATTAAAGCATAACCCAAATTGTTGACTTTGCTACACCCACTATGTGCACCAAGATACCAGACTTTCTTGTTATTGCCATTATCTCAAGTCCTTCTTGTGACGTCACAACTCAAAATATACCAAGTGCGATAACTTGGGAATAAGATGAGATACGAATAAACTGTAAACTTCATTCTTCATTATTTGAACAGTACCTTTTAATTCAACAATAAAAAATCAGGAAAAAATTTCGTTTCATAAGCACTTTAAGTATGATCTTCATTTATGATGTAAGTGGGATATAACATGCAATTTGATTGGCTAATCCGCGTGCGTTTAACGCAATAATACACTGTAGTCTGTGGCACTGCCTTGCTCTCTATCTGTGTTTTCCTGCTTCATTTTTGCTTTTTATTACCAAAAATATAAACAAAATTATAGAGCTTTCACAGTACAAAGTTCAGTAGAAAACAGGGAAGAATACGCCGAAGGGGGCAACTTCAATTGCATTTTATCTATAGTTCGAGAAGGTCGAAAAGGACACAGGAATATGCCAAAACATGCAAAAAGGAAAAAAAACAAATTACGTTCATTAACTTTACAAGCCAGAGCTATTTGCTGTGAACATGTGTCTTATCGATGTTTTTCCTTGTATCAGTTTTTTCATGTTGTTTTTTTTGTGTCATTTTTACTCAGAAAGTCAGCCAATATGTCCGTGCAGCCGTATTCTGATGAAGAGCTGAACTACTTCAAGTTTGCGTCGATTGTCCTAAAGGAATTCCCAGATGCTTTACGTAGCATATTTGTAGACATGTGGGACACCAGACTTGCACCAAGTTCCACAGTTTGGGATGACTCGCCTTTTGTACGCAATATACTCCACAACAATGAGGTTCCAAACACAAAGATCCACACGAACAACTCATTTAAAGAGTGGGACTGCACTGCACTATTTCAAGCCACTCTGTATGCAAGAACATTTGAGCTACCAGACAGCACAGGAAAGAAAAAGACGCTCGGAGAAATGTATTTAAAAGGACGAAAGCCAGCCCCTGCTCCATTCCACTCTACAGTGAGAAGCTCGAGCGGAGATGCAAATGAGACGATTGCACTTGCCATTGATCAGCTTCGTCTTTTACGAAACACTCTTTGCCATACATCCAGCCCTCAAATTAATAAAGTCACGTTCGATGACTATGTCAGGCACACCAAAGACGCGTTCATTGCTTTAAATTTTAGCCCGACATCTCTGGAGAGGATTGGCAACATGAGAGAATCGGATTTTCCTACGAAGGAAGTTGAAAAACTAAATGAAAAAATCAATCATGTGAGAAGTGAATTCTGTGTGTTTCTTCAAAGTGACGTTACAGATGAAATGCGTGGAATCAAACGTAAAATAAGTGGAGTGGAACATGAGCTGAAAAGCATTAATAAAAAATTAACACAGACGAAAGAAATCACAGGTATGTTGTTTATGTAATACTTTACCTTAAAAGTGATTTTCCAGACTGACGTGCACGCAGTTATGAATATATATAATATCCACAGTCTTATTTGGCACACCCACTCCCCTGTGCCCGTTCCCCCCGTCCTCCCGGCGCGTGACATGTAACCTCTCTTCTATGACTCCCACAGCCTCTCCCCCAACACCCAAAAATGGACACTGGCACAATCCAGACCTGCGATCGTCAGTTCACCATAAAGTATATCGGACTAGAAAACGGACGTTCGTTGGCGCGATTCCATGCCACAGCTAAGTAAAGTTTTTCTCTGATTCTCCCATATCCGGCGATGTCATTCGGAGTAGCGCCTGATGTCATAACTGGTTTAATTATACAGATGCTTTTGGTCTACAAACCGTTTGTAGCGACAGGCTGGGCATCATCAAATAGTTCTTTTGGGAGAAACACAAAGATTAGCAGATGCTTTTGTCTCGGCAAATAAAATAAATCTATCTTCCGTCAGGCCGTCCGTCCGTCACTCGGCCCGTCTGTCTGCCTATCCTATTTTTAATTATTATTCTCTTTATTTGTCCTCATGTTTCATTGTTTAGTTCAATGCACCACGGCGGCGGACTCCGAATTCAAAGATTTTAACGATGTTCTTTTGCTGACAGTGGACGACACGGAGTTTAATGAAGCGCAAAAAATATTAGAGAATGTCGAAATACCCAGCAAGAAAGACGAAAGTGAGAAAAACCGGTGTTTTGGAGAAATCGGTAGAAATAAAGTTACGCTCTTGAAAGTTCCATACTTCGACAAGACCAGCACTTCGTCAGGTCATGACGTTCTGGTTTATCAAACAATCCAAGAACTTAAACCGAAAGCTATTGTTAGTCTGGGAGTTTGCGATGGTGTAAGGAAAGAAGCACATTTCCTTGGTGATGTCGTAGTGTCATCACAAGTTTACTTTCTTGAGCAACAGAATGACGGTTTGTCGAATTTTGATCGTACGGCGTATGACTGCAATTTGGGATTGGTGCGTTTGTTCGACCGTGGGAAATTTGCGTGGGTTGGTCCTTGTGAAAATGTGGTAGTTCCAAAAGTCCATGT